CTTTTGAACTGGAGATTTCTGCCAGGACACGATGTGTTTCTCCTGCGTCGTAACCATTACCTCTTGCAGATTTCCATCTCATAGGTGTTTTAAAAGCAAGCTTACAGCACTGGCATTAGGTTCTTTGCCAACAGTCTTGCTGTTGCCATCTCCTTTCAAAGCCTGGCTGTAGAAGGTCTTGCATAGGACTATGGGTTAGCACTCTTGCTCCAGAAACAGAAGAACCAGTGTCAATTGCTCCTGTGTCTGGAGGGGGCCCTTGGCTCTCCTACGCGGGGAGGAGGGGTGCAGGTGCCCCATCTCCATCTTGCCTTTGGTGAAACATCTGTCTGTTCATCTCTATATGCTCACCTGTTTGGGGAAAAGTTGCAAGAGGATTTGACTACTCACCTGTGTTTCAGGATAATGACAGGAGAGGTGCATTTGAATCCTCCCGCGCTGAGGATCTGGGTCTTGTTCACCTGCCCAAGCTGCAGGGCAGGGGTCTGAACATCAGGCAGGAGCACTTCTGCATGCAGTGCCTGTGCTTAAAAGTGAGTAACCCCTGCCCAGGTACCCCTCAGAGCTGGACTGCCTCATGCTCATTCCCTGAAGGTGAACCTAAAGGTGCTCACACGATACGTGAAGTATTAGTTTTGTTAAAACCATGAACTTGAAGAAGGCAGTTTCTGCAGCAAGAGAAAGCATAGATGAGCTGGGCAAGACACTGGGCACAAACTCTCCCTCATCCCCCATGCATCCTGGCAGTACAACTCCTCTTCACTTTTCATGGCCTCCTGCCTTGCAATAAACTCACAGCTCCTCAGGGACCTCCGAGGGATCTTCCTTTCCATCACCTCTGCCTGTTTATGTTCTCCTTCCAGTCTCCATTCTTGCTGAGCCTCTCCCTTCTGCCTGCCCCAGCCTTTGCCCCACAGCCACCCTCGGCCATCTTCTGCCCCATGAGCTCCATGTGCCTCTGGGGGAACAGGTAGGGCTTGGGGGCTGCTTGCCTCCCTCCCAGCTGCTCAGCCACAGCCTTTGTAACAAATTACGTGACACGTATGTATAGTGCTCACATATATACTTACATGGGTAGCTCTCCACCAGCACACTGGGGGGCAGGTGGGCTAGCCCCAGCAATGGCTCTGTGAGCCAGCCGTCTCCTTTGTCAGCTGTTCCCCACCATGAGACGCACCACATCTCCAGTTCAGCTCCAATCCCTTGCTTTTGGGCTCCTCCAGCAAACCAAGAGATATAGAGATTCGTGCTCTCCCCAGCATTGCTGGTCTGTATCTCAACATGCCTGCCTTAAAGAGGGGACCAGAACAACACAACGCTCCTCTTCCGAGGGTCTCTTGGGTCAGACTGGGTATAATCACCCCTTTCCTTAAGCATAAGGGTTGTCTGAAGAAATATGGCCACACCATTTCATGCACTGCCTTCTTAATTAGTCTTCTGGGGGAGCATTCTCCAGTGGTGGAGACTACAACAACCAGCAGAGAGGGGCTGTTGGGAAAAGCCATGGGGAAAAAGGGAGATAAAACCAGAAAATAAAAGCCAGATCTGCTGCTGCATATAGAGAGGATCACAAGAACGCATTAACAGAGCCATTGTACAACAGGGTTCTCCAATGTCTAAGGCACATAGAAATTTCGTCAGTCACTTCATCAGAGCACAAACTTCTCATCCAGCTGTGGTGCTGCGATACAGCTAAAGAGCCATCCTGCCTTGTTGGGCCACCTCACACCAAGGGGGTGAGCGATGCCAGCACTTAGCAGCAGGCTGGTTTCACTTGATTCATCCAGCAAGACATTTGCAATCTCACTATTCCAAGGTGCATCCAGGTTTTCAGCTGTGATGTATTTTGAATGAATGTATAATATTAAAAAGAATTGTCGATTCACACCATTAGAAAATATAGGATTATATAAAATTTTCCTCTATATAAAAAGAATACCTTGGCTTTTATGAGAGGTAAACACTCCCCTCCTCCAGTCCCAGTGTGTACCTGGTGTATCACCACTGAAGCCACGAGCAGTAAGAACAATGTTTTAAAGAATATTTAGAGATAGTTTTGGTTTTTCCATGTATGGATCCATAGACATTTTTGCATAATTGAGGTGTTGTTTGTGTGGTGGGTTTTTTTTCCAAACTAATAATAAAAATAAAATTTATCAACAACAGTCTGATATGACAGTATTTCTTTTAATCTGAGACAACGCTGAGCTCCTCCATTGCAAGACTTCCACTTTAGGTATTCAGCAACAGCAGGCACCCGGAGAGGCTTCCCACCAGAACAGAGATATTATCTCAAAACCTACATATTTATTCTTGAAGATGTAAAAAAAAAAAGTCAATGTATCAAAAATAAAACTGTTCTTGAAAATAGATATATTCTGATCTGCAATGCGCCGTTTCCAGGGTCATAATTTTAACATGCACCTTCACAACTTGAATTCTAATATCTTGTTTCATTGAGGGTTGGAATTATCCTTTCCAGCCTTACAGCTGAAGTACAAGTTTCTCACAGTGCTGAGAAGCAGGTGTGCCGCAACTGCTGCTGGGGACTTTGCTGTGGTTTTATCACTGTCTTAGGGAGACAGGTTTGATTTTCTGAGCTGCCAGCGCTCAGAGCCACTCAGCAACTTCGACATGCACCTCTTCAGAGCCAGAGTTATGAGGCAGGCCGCGCCACCTTCCATTGGCTTCATGAGAATCAAAAGTACCCCCTGCTCCTTGCAGAAGACACGCAGGAACAGGCATAACCTGAACTACTTTTGAGACTTCCAACTTCAATTAATAACAATTCCCTAGTCTGGAGCAAAAGCAACAGCTGAGGTCGGAACAGCCAGATTGGCACGTTCAGGGAGATTTTGTCTTGATCTACAGCTGCTCAGAAAAACTTGTAGATCTGTTCCCACAGCTAAAAGCTGCTGCTCTAATTTGTTAGACTAGCCCCCAGCTAACCCATTTCATGGGAATTGACTGCTAGTACATCTGATTGATGTCTTTAAAAGGCTCTGAGCAGCAAGTGACCCTAGGTTATTACAGACAGGCAACTTGTTTCTGTAAATTCTCCCCTAGGAGGGAGATCAGAATATACTCAACCCGCTCTCATTTCTTCTTCATGTATTTACTCTGCATGTAAACTTAACTGATTTATAGCAGGAATATCTAGTAGATCTACAGCAATTGTTATTTATAAGTTCTTTCAGCTCTAATGCAAGAAAGCCAAGTCTCGATTCACTACACTATGTTGCCACATGAGGTATGCCTGTCCCTTGGAAAGGGAGAGGGCATGGTCAGACCCAGGGGCTATTTCTCAAAAAGGGGTGAAAGATCTCTGCTTTATTCCACAGGGAAGCGTGTTTCTCTATAGGGTGAGCCAAGACAGAGAATAGTACTGCAGGGAACTAACTCACTCGTTATTTGTCTACGTGCCACTCGGAGAAGAAAATGGGAGGAAGGGAGCAAAATTTAAAGGCAGAACAAACAATTTCTTTGTTCCTTCAAAGTGCATGCTCCCTTAAAAACTGCTGTGCTTCTCAAAGGTAGCAGCACCTGTATCTTCGTGATCCCCAGATTGCAAAAGTTACATGCAAGTGAGGCTGCATCTCCCCATGTTTAAATAGCTAGGTGAATCCAGACCCCAGACAAGGGTATTATGTTTCCCATATCATAAGCCAAGAAGAGTGTTTATATGGGAAAATGCATGCTACTGCATGTAACACCCAGTGAAAAAAATTCCCAAATCTACACAACACACAGAGCCTGTGCTCTTCTTGATACAATGGGGGTCTTGCGACACTGAAAGACAAAAAACATCACAGAACAAACACAGAGATACTTACACTGGTACTTAAAGGAACATTGTGACAAAGAACCCCCTCACTGAAGGGGCTACCAAGAAAAAGGTCATCAAGAAATCAGTTACTTGCTTCTCTGGGAGGTAGCTTATGATGTAAGAGCTGTAAACCACAAGCTGTGCAGAACTCGAGAACCACATCTGAAGATATACGACCCTTTTCTCCTGAAGAGCAGCAGAGCAGCAAACCGTTCGTAGCAGAGAGCACATGATTTTCAGGCACACTGCAATATTGTGCTGCTGCTTTAAGGCCCTCTGTGGCAACTCCCATTTTAGAGTCCATTAAAGGCAGAGTCTACGTATTAGATGATCATCGGCCCCATCCAATTAGGGCTCACAGATGAAATCTAAGGACCATTATCCGGACATCATGGATCAGCAGTTTTTTTTAAGAGAGGGAAATTCATAAAAAAAATTTCTGCCGCAGTCCATGGACTGACAGATATTCCAGCCGTATCAGAGAAACTGATCAAAGACTCATGACATTTTTTGGATAAAGGAATGCTCACATGCTGTGCACTAGAAGCAAAGAGAAATGCATGCCAACTCACCTGACCTATGTATATTCTACATATTGGAAGCTGGTAAATTCCACTTACCTGTGTTTATCCTCAGCTCCACTGCCACTGAAACTAAAACTGGAAGACACTGACAGCACTGCAAATTATTTACTATTCCCCAGAATCCTTCATGAGCCCCAAGAGTGGTTTCTCCATGAACTCTGCCCATTTTCATTTGGTAAACAGTGACATTTCCCCTGCTTTACAACTGAATCTAAAAATAGCCCCTTTCGTGTCATAATTTCCCAAACTTCATCAGAAATGTGTTTTATGCAGCAGCACAAGCACTGGGAACAAACTGGGGTTATGAACAGTTGTGAAAAAAACAACAGAGGACCAAAGTAGGCATTGAAAAAACTCTCTCTCCCTCTTCAGGAGAGGACTATACTTTGAACAGATTACCACAAATTGGAAGGCAACACATCCTCTTTAAAAGCACATTTCCAAGAAGGCAAATAAAAACACTATTCACAGTGGTTTGAATTTTTTTCTCATAGTTTATTGAATGGAAAGAAATTAAACAAAACAAACCATAGACAAACACACACACAAAAAAATCTGCGTTCCTCATGTCTCATCTGTAAGGCAGTCCTTTAGAAAGAACAGCAAGAAGCTCCTCCGAGTACAAAAGCCAAGACAGACCATAATGCCACAATACCAGAGACTCTAAAGGGCAAGAATAATAAAATGCTGTCAGGCTACCTGTATTTAGGGGTTAATTTTGTTCTTATTAAGCACTGAGATTCTTTTCCAAACTCTGTCACACCAGAAATTCACCCTTCATGATCATCACTGTCACCATCTCATGAGAGGGATGCACTTTGAATCTGGAATTCTCTCCTACTACCGAGCTTTCGACTCTGCTGTAGGAAAAAAACCACACATTCATCCCACACCTGGGAGACACTGCCTCTCTCTCCTCAAGCTTACTAGAGCTAGCAGTACAGCTCATTAAGATAACCCCCTATCTGTTCTGACAGCACATACATAGTTTTGCACTATCCATGATGGGGTAATATTCCCCAGTTAATCAGGATCAAGATGAAAGTCCAGTTGCCCAGGGCTGTAAGCTCACAAGTAGCCACCCAGCAGTAGGCAAGCGAATTTGCTTCTGCACCCCCTGTTCTCCTGAAGGGCTGGCAGAAGCACACTGCAGAAGAGTGGCAGGCTCCTGCCGTGGCAGGGCGAGGCACCCCGAGAGGGATGCCCTTCCCCACTCCCCATTCCTGTGATTGCTGTAACTCACTGCAGCAGGCAGTTCACACGCGGAGAGTGCCTCCAGTGACGATAGATGGAAACCGGCAGATGAGGGTGATGCTTATAATCTCGCAGAACAAGCTTGACGCTGTAATGGAAGCGGATGTCGTGAGCTGTGGTTTGCAGGCTGCTTACAGCATCCCACAGCTCAGGACAGTAAACTCTTTATCTAGGAGTTGTCACAGCAGGAAGAGGGTGGGATGAAGAGCTGGATCAAGGAGGATCAAGGGACAAAAAATTAGGACTTCCCGGTCACTTACTGCTTGAATTTATTGGAGAGCAGAATGAACTGGTTCTTTGAAAGCCGTCTGACATCAAAGCGACAATGAGCTCTAAACTCTTGGTAAACCTGCCTTTCATTCAGCCCTGGCCAGCCTTGGACATGGACAACCAAGGCAGGGGGATACTGGCAGGGAGCATCTTCCCCAGAAAAATTCTGGAAAACATACAATACTGAGACATATCCGAGTTCAGAAATACTATTAAAGCACTACTAATATAAACCAGAAAATACGCAAAGTGTGACACATAAATAAGACAGGCTGTAAAATTATTTTTCTTTTGTTCCATGGTTCTTCTAAACGTGAGTCATAAAAGCAAACTGTCACGACTACCATGGAGAAACCACCAGAGAAATAGCAATGTAAACTGACTACTGCCATGTTAGAGGATAACGATATGAATGCATTTAACAAAGCAGAAATTAAACTAATTTGACATTTTGAAAGGTCGTTTGTGTCATTTGTATGACAACTTCTGCCAAGGTGAGCCCAGGCACTGGTGGATTTTTCTCCTCTCATGAAGCCATCAACTAGGCTACTGACCTATGCACCCCACAAACTGGTCACAGACCTGCAATTTATACGCACAATGCTTGAAACACCACCTCGGATGAAATTCACTTTGTTCAGATACTCGGCTAACACGGTGAGATACTGAGAGAAAGAAGGATCAGCCTCCACTGCATCACTACATCAGAAAACAAAACGGAACAAAGTTTTGTTTCTCCAGTGCTGCACTGCTGCACAGTGACTCTGGAGTACAGAGGTCCTGAAGCAGCTCTTTTAATTCATGACAAAATAGGTATTTCAGATCTTGGTATCTTCTACAGAAGTCAAAAAAGCTGCAAGCAAAGGGAAGGGATTTGAACAGTTGCCTCTTACGAACTTAACTGAAGGCACCGAATCAAACAGACTTCAAAAATGGAAACTAATGGAAAATGATTTGACCCTTTACCCAAGCGATCTGAACTCGAGAGCGCATGTCCATGGATAAAGGCGTCACAATGCCATTTTCCAACCTCTGAGCCATTGCACGGCCCCTGACTTCATTTTTAAAATGTCAGCTTTGACATAAAGCTACTACTTTCAGATTTATAAAATAAAAATCTAATTAGAACAGTGACGTTTCCAATAACGCATTCTCTTATCTAAAAGTAAGGCCCGTCTGCAAAATGGAAAGTCAGCCAGAGTGAATTGACGACTGCTTTCTGTAGGACTCATCCATGTAACCCAATTTTCAGTGAACATTTAAACATCACTCACACTGTGGATCTGCACAGTAGCAAATGAGCTGACTTCAGAAGAACTAGAAGAAGAAATAATGAGGTGGCATTAGAACAAACCTAAAGAAACATACCAAAACAAATGGAAAGCAAAAACTCACTAAAGTGCAGCTAAGTTACTAAGAGCAACAGACAGTGTATAAACAAATATTTCTGAGCATCAAACAGAGCTACAGAGCAGGAAACAAATTGCCAAGTTCCAGCACAAACTCTGAAGAAGTGTTTAAGAAGCATTTTACCTGAACCACAGAGAAATGCATCATAGCCTGCCTCGTGAGGAGATTTCTTCTCAGCTGTAAGTGTCCGACAAAATCAAAAAGGAGTAAACAGCTTTAGCACGCTGTGGAAACCGCTCCACTGCAGAATCCTAACATTCATAAGATCCATTGCTCCGGAGTTTTTCCCCTCACCCTCAGCTCTGTTCCCTTCTTCACCCTGAAACCTTTACAGCCCATAGAAAGCCTACACTTCTACCATGCATTTTAAAACTACACCAACAGAAAAGCAGTAGTTAACACAAATGGCTGAAAAGCTTAGCGAGATACACAATAAAAAATTCTAACTTTTATGAAGATCTAAATCCAATTGTGCTGTATACGTTATTGATGGTATGGGAATCATTTCAAAACACAGGAGGCCCTGCGCTGCAGGACACCATCCTGCCAGGAGAAGCCAGGAAATGTCTCCCTCACAGTCAGTATCCCACCACATACTGAACACCACCTCCTGCACACGCAGCACCACTAACCCTGCACATGAGCCACTGAGCTCCTGCTACTTTCTGGGACATCCCTGCCATTAGCTCCCACTATTTTCTATTCTAGGACCACTGCTTCCCACCTCATCCTGCCCCTTCCAAGGGCTACCAAACTCTTCTCAGCCTGACTGCGCGTAAATGTCATTTGTGCTAGCAGTGTGATGCAAACTTGCCCTGCAGTACCCTTGGCAGCTACCAGGGACATGCACAGCACATAACATTCTGGGAGACGAGGCTTTGAGTCTGGACAAAAACGTGTAGCAGCTTGGTGCCAATGCAGCAGACTTACTGGCACTCACTAATGTTTTGCATGTGGACATCCACAGAGTGAAAAACCACCATTTTTAGCTACTGGACTTTGAATATTTGCTTAAGAACATACCATATCTCGAGCAGTCACTTGCAAGAGCTATCACAGGGCACGCTGGATCTTTGGGATTTAGGTTGCTGCAAGACAAGTGGATGCGTAAGATTTCTGTCTTTCTTTATTACGTTAGAGACAAGTTACTGTCCTCTAGTGACCTATGGCTTCATTTCAGAAAAAGCTATTTAAGACTTCAAAAGAAACTTCGGCAATATTATTTGAAAAGGCTAAGATACTTACCTGAATAATATCTATCAGTTTTCTTCCTGAAAACTAACTCCTAAATACTTCCTCAGCCTCTTCCCCCCATCAAACCTTCTAAGCAGCAAATCCGCTCCAATTGCGTACAAAAAAAGTGTGAACAGAACTAAAACTCAATAGGAAATTCCAAGGAAAGGGGCTGACTAGATGGTTCTATTTGAATAGGGAATTCTGGAAGACAGATTAATAAACATATACCCATGGAATGACTGAAATAAAAGAAAGAACAAGCAAGCACAAAAACGCATGAGAATCTGCAGTTTGAAATTGCTAGAACAAAAAAAACCACACAACAGAATCCCAGTTCTGTTTTTATAAGCAGTAGTTTTGCATCTCCTTCTAGGCAGTAGGGAGTGAGGGGAAAGAGGTGAAATTTTTCTTTTCTTAGTAAAATTGACATGAAAGCAATTTATCCACAAAAGAGGTGTAAAAAAGGTAGCACATGATGTCTACTCAGGTGCTGCATTTGAACACTGTATTTAGTTACTGCTTTGGGCTCAGTGCAGCTCTTCCTTGAGAGCTGGCATTTGAAATTAGGGTGTATTTTTTCCACTGAGACCTGAAACTCACTCATTTCGTTACATGACATAAGCAACATACAACTCTAAAGTTGTATGTAAGGCTGCCTGCAAACCAAACTTGTGACCTATGGAGGACAATATGAGAAGCAACTTAGAACAAATAATTTACTGCACAATTACTTTATAAGAAAGATGAGTAAATCTTTTGTTCTTAAATTTAGAAAGTCAAGAAAACCAGCTGCAAAACATTTGGGAGGAGGGAAATGATGAGCATATGAAATGACTGACTTTGAAGTATTTTTCCCAAGTAAACAAATGGATTGTTGAAGGCTTTACAGCCCACCACTTACCTGCACAAAACCATATACACCTCCAAAAGATTAGATACTCGAGGAAACGGACTTTTCTATAAAAGAAGAACATGTTAGAAAACCAACCAAGACAGATCTTGTGGTACATGAGCTCATTTACTGGTATCACTGATTCATTAAATGAGATCTGCGGAGAATGGATTGAGAGCAGCCCTGAGGAAAAGGACTTGGGAGTGCTGGTGGATGAGAAGCTCAACATGAGCCAGCAATGTGCGCTGGCAGCCCAGAAAGCCAACCGTATCCTGGGCTGTATCAAAAGGAGCGTGGCCAGCAGGTCGAGGGAGGTGATTCTGCCCCTCTACTCAGCTCTCGTGAGACCCCACCTGGAATACTGTGTTCAGCTCTGGAGTCCCCAGCACAAGGAGGACATGGAGCTACTGGAACGAGCCCAGAGGAGGGCCACAAAGATGATCAGAGGGCTGGAGCACCTCTGCTATGAAGACAGGCTGAGAGAGTTGGGGCTGTTCAGCCTGGAGAAGAGAAGGCTCCGGGGTGATCTTATAGCAGCTTTCCAGTACCTAAAGGGGGCCTACAGGAAAGCTGGAGAGGGACTTTTTACAAGGGCATGTAGTGATAGGACAAGGGGCAATGGATTTAAACTGAAAGAGGGCAGATTTAAGTTAGATATAAGAAAGAAATTCTTTACATTGAGGGTGGTGAGGTACTGGAACAGGTTGCCCAGAGAAGTTGTGGATGCCCCATCCCTGGAGGTGTTCAAGGTCAGGTTGGATGAGGCTTTGGGCAACCTGGTGTAGTGGAGGATTTCCCTGCCCATGGCAGGGGGGTTGGAACTAGATGATCTTTGAGGTCCCTTCCAACCCTAACCATTCTATGACTCTATGATCTAAAATCAGAATGTCTCAGGGCAATACTGAGAACTGGTCACAGTTCTGTAACCAAAGGGCACTGAAGAAAGATACCCTCTCTCTGGGTGAAAGACAAGCCTTTACTCCAAAAAGAACTTTGCATCTCACCTTCCAGATTGATTTTGTTACAGTCTTGGTGTCTATGAGGACAGGAAACAGGTTGTGAATGTTCCTTTTAAACTCCTCATAGCTCTCTGAAAGCAAAACATACATAGACAAAGACATCAAAAAACTAAGGAAAAGCAAACAGTACTTCAAGTGAATAAGAAAGAGAGGTGAAGTCAGAGGAACAATGCACTGCTTCAGCAGTTAGAGCTCAGAAAAGGCAACTAGCACTGCTGCTTGCTAAGCACTGTGGGTGTCTGGGGTGGCAAATGACCACTGTGCTTAATGTCCCATCCCCACTGCAAAGGCAGCAGCCTGGGGACAGCAGCTATGTACAGCATTACCTGGAAGGGGCTTGTAGAACTTGTCATGAAGGTGCATAAGGTCCATAAGCATATTGTGTCCCACCAGGGGCTACGGGAAGGAAAGAAACAACAGCCCATTGGAGCATATTTTTGAAGAGAGCTCAGAGATAACCAACTGTAGGCATGCTCAACAGCTGTAATGCTTTCCTCCGGGGGACAGTATCCACACACGCTCACCCAAAAGTCATTCAGGCTGCAAGGCTCACAGAAGGACTACAGCTTTCAGGAAACCAGACTTGTGGACTCTTTGAGGAGGGTATTTTTTCAGCAGCATTCTATTTTCAGTGCACCTAAGGAGCTAGGTGGATTCTCAGTTCAGCTAAACACTGGTAAAAATCTTCCAGCAATCAGATTTATAGGCTCACTCACAAGGGGAGGGAGGGCCTTTGCCTGCACATCACCCAAGTCTTCTGAAGCTGAAATTCATTCAATCATCCACATACAGAACATAAGAATTTTCAAACACAAGCAGACCAATAGCCCACACGGTCCAAAACCTGGTCTGTCACATGCTGAGAAGCGTAACTTGCCCTAAAAGCAAGAATCATTCTGAGGGTGGTGAAACACTGGAACAGGTTGCCCATAGAAGTTGTCCCCTCCCTGGAAATGTTCAAGGCCAGGCTGAATGAGGCTTTGAGCAATCTGATCTAGTGGCAGGTGTCCCTGCCCATGGCAGGGAGGTTGGAACTAGATGATCTTTAAGGTCTCTTCCAACCCAAACCATTCTATGAATCTGCTTAGTTTTCTTAAATGGTGACTCATTGTCACTCTGTGTAACACAATGATTTTCAACATTCCAGACTCCTTCATTTTTTCAAGTGACATAAGAAACACATTGCAGAATGGGTTCTGGCTCCCTCTCCCCTGGCTGTACTTGAGTTGCATGAGTAACAGAAAAGTAACACAGGGAAACGTAGTGTTTGGATCCACAACTCTGAGCATGCTTTGGGAGTGGGACCTGGTCAGTAACACGATATAATGTTTAACACTCATTTCTCTAACCACGACTGCAATCTAAAAATTCATCTCAGTTTTTCAGACAACTAAACAGGATGATCACACTGAATTAGTTGAGTCATTTAATACAAATTAATACTTTATATTTTATTATCCCTTTACGTCCAGTGTAGTAAATCAAAAAGAGATGAAAAATGAGAGTAGGGATGAGGCATTTTACCTTCTTGGCTTTAACAAATGTCTGGAAGAGGTTGGTGAAGCCCCGGGCAGACAGGAGGATGAGTTCTTTCTGGCAGTAGTCATAAGGAGAGTTCTCCAGAAGTCGACGCTGCTGTGGACTCACTTTTTTCACCATTACCTAAAAAGAACAGTCATTGGGTATCACAGTCTCCCATGCTAGCTGTATGTACATTGCCTCCTGGGGTTCAGTAATGCTGAGGACAAGTTCAGCTTCTAGGCTATGAAGGATAGAGAAATAATGCATCCTCTGGGACCTCAGGACTGTCTCACTTCTCTTCCATATGGAGATCAGTGCTCCAGTAACAAAAGAGAGCTGCTCTAAGGATGTCATATTAATGCTTCTCTTGTTAAGAGGACTGTTCGTACCACACTTTTTTTGGAGCACAAAGGAACATAATTCAACTTAACTCGACACCAATATCATAGACTCATAGAATGATTAGGGTTGGAAGGGACCTCAAAGATCATTTAGTTCCAACCCCCCTGCCATGGGCAGGGACATCCTCCACTACACCAGGTTGCTTAACGCCTCATCCAACCTGGCCTTGAACACTTCCAGGGATGGGGCATCTACAACTTCTCTGGGCAACCTATTCCAGTGCCTCACCAACCTCAGAGTGAAAAATTTCTTCTTGTATCTGATCTAAATCTGTCCTCTTTCAGTTTAAAACCACTACCCCTTGTCTTATCACTATATAACCCTTGTAAAAAGTCCATCTCCAGGTTTCCTGTAGGCCCCCTTTAAGTACCGGAAGGACTTCTGGTAAAGTTATGGCACCGAGAAACAGAAACAAACAGCAATCACACATACTGAATCCACAAAGGCAATGCTTCAGGTGAGAAGGCTGGCTACATCTCTCACTCTGTTGGCACTGATTATCAGACCAAAATAGTACTAATGCCAAAAAAAAAAAAAGGACTTCTATAATCTACTTCAAAGAAACTGACTATCATACTCATACCAGGCTTTGAGAAGTCCACAGCCATAGGTTTAATTCAGAAAATACTGCACCAAATGCAAAACAACAATAGTAAATAGCAAAACAGCAAGCCATAAAACAGACACAGTAAAAGTCTTCAAAACAATTACACAGCAAAAGTCAGCAAAGGAAAACCACAAAAAAAAAGGCTAAAAACTGTATATTCTTGTGGAAGTATTGAAAGAGAGGTCTAACAGAGTCTGGAGACACAGAGAAGGTCCCTCCAGAAGTTTCCCAAGGCCAAGCACTTCCAGCTCTAGGTATTTTGTAGCTACAGGACAAACAGAAACCAAAGTTACTCAGTTTTCTGAATCCCTTTTCTTGGGATCCCAAATCAACACTTCCCAGAACACTCCTTTGTCATTGTCTTCTCCTCCTGGGCCCTGTATCATTAAAAGTACAAGCAACATTTCAGAGTCCCTGTAAGAACACCAGTCTGATCTGCCTAGATAGAAACCCTCTTTTCAAAAGGTCCGAATTTCCATCTCACCTTCTTGTCTCCAAGAGGCTGTGTCCAAACATTTTGGAGAGCCTCTCTCAGAACCAGCTGAACTTCAAACATCCGATGGCCTGAGACAAATAAAATAAATAAATAAATAAATAAATAAATAAATTTAACGTAAAAACCTCAAAGGTGCAAACAAGTCTATTTTTCTAGACAGAAGGACTGACCAGATGTTGTAAAGAAAATATTCCTGAATGTAGGATCTTGGTACATTACCATACACGATGATGAGACAGAGGAGGCAAAACAAAACAACAAAAAAAAGGTCACAGTGAGATTTCAGGGAAACAAACTTTGGTGAGGCCATAGAAGAAAGGAAAAGACTAACTGAAAAGAAGAGGGAGGAAAGCTACTACTCTGAAAAAGACTGACTGTGGTTTTGGAAGGCTTCAGAGCAACACATCCAGAAGCCAAGCACAGACGGGAGGTACCAATGCATTTTCCCCCAGAGCTGGTAAGGAACTAACCCAGCCCTCTTCTGAACAGCATGCAAAAAGACATCTTAAGCAGTCTTACTGCTTACTTACATAAATGTCTTTCTTTTCACAGGTGCTCACTATTGCTAGACCCTATTAAACAATCAGTATTGTATCTACTACAGCTGACATAGCAGATACAAACCACAGCAACTTCCCACCCCGCTATATTCCACCCACTGCAAAAAAAAAACCATCAACAGGCAAAGCCTCAAATACTTTCTGTCCTTCCTCACCTTTTCTGTATTTTATTCCCTGACCTAAAGCGCTAAGATTTGGTTTCTGTGAGCAAACTTACAAAATATTCTCTGCTACAATTCCCTGTCCCTCAACTACTCCAAAACAACACAGAAATGCCTCAGCTCTGCTAGAGTGCTCCCAAAAGTTAATGCCAGTAGTTAAGTGGCCTGTTTACCCCCACTGGCATATATATGTGTCTCCATGGGTCTCCTTGTTGCTCCACACTAGAGGGAACAAACTCTGAAAGCAGACCCACCTTTCCCTTCCCCAAGGGGAAGAAAACAAACAAAAAACAGATCACTCAAGACTTTAAACAAGTCAAAAGCTGTCCTGATTCAGCGCAACTTCTTCAGAGCAGCAACTGGAGAATTTGAAGCACAAATGGAAGCAAGTTACCACAAAGCATGCTCCAAGCACCTAGACATCCACTTTCACTACAGAAAGACTCACCACTCCAACAGAGCAGAAAAGCAGAGCTCAAAGATGCAGGCCTGATAGGAACTGAGGTGTAGACAGGGGCAAAGAGTTGTAAAGGCAGGATGGGCACAGGTGTTTTCACTCTCAACAGAGCCATTTAACAGAACGGGCAGCAAAGGACAGTAGCAGCCCCAGAGGTTCAGGAGAAGTGATGAAGCCACTCGGAGCCCGCAGGTGCCTAAGGGAGGCACCCTGTTTCATACCACTCAGATCCTGCAGAATCATAGTCTCCTCTTCCTCTGCTGCAGCTATCCAACAGGTCACTTCATCAATAGCCTTCTTCAGCACATCCCTGTCCAGAGCACTAAAGCAGGATCAGGGAGAATGAGGCAGAGTGTGAGAAAAAGCTCTTTACAGAGGGAGCCTTGTGCCTTGCTGTGGGAATGCAAAAGCATCACTCCCCAACATTTCCCCAAACTCTCCAGATTGTATCCTGTGATCTCAGTCTTCCTTCAGACAGATCTCAGCGTGCTGGAACAGCTGGCAGCAAGGCATATAGGCTTTAGTATTTCTACAAAATGTGATCTGAGTGAAGGGGAGCTGTGAACGCAGACACATATTCTCAGTACTGAAGCACTCACCTGCTGACTCTGCAGCTGCCCGCTAAGAGATGCTGGCTAAGCATCTTCTCCTGTACCTCATTCATGTACGGGATTCCATCTTTGAGGAACTGAGAGGGGAAAAAAATGCCAGGTTGGTTACTCTCCCCTGGACTTTCTTGCAGCAAATTAGAGAATAGCAGAGTAGCCAGGTCCAAAACTGGCATATATTTAGGAGATGCTGCTGTTCCTCATTCTCAGAATATCCTCTTCAAAACCACAAACTGTAGGTAATCCAAGATGCATTCTTACGTAAAGGAAAACATGTTTACGTATGGACGAAAGAAAAGGATTTTTGTCAACTGTAATCCATTTTTTGCTCTGCTTTTATCTTTCCTTTAATGAGATCATGGAAGAATCATAGAATCATTCAGGTTCAAAAAGACCTTTAAGAACATCGAGTCCAACCATTAACTTAACACTAAACCATGTCTCTAAGCACCACACCTACACGTCTTTTAAATACCTCCAGGGATGGTGACTCAACCACTTCCTTGGGCACCTTGTTCCAATACTCAACAGCCTTTGAATAATTTTTTCCTGATATCCAATCTAAGATTCTCTTGGTGCAACTTGAGGTCAATTCCTCTTGTCCTATCACTTGTTACTGGGGATAAGAGACCAACACCCACCTCGCTACATGGTGGGGATGAGGTCTCCCCTCAGCCTCCTTTCCTCCAGGCTAAACAACCCCAGTTCCCTCAGCTGCTACTCATAAGACATGTGCTCAAGACCCTTTACCAGTTTCATTGCCCTCTTTGGACACACTCCAGCACCTCAATGTCTGTCTTGTAGTGAGGGGCCCAAAACTGAACACAGTATTCGAGGTGCAGCCTCACCAGTGCCGAGTACAGGGGGACATCACTTCCCTAGTCCTGCTGGCCACCCTAAATGAGACAAGCCCGGATTCTATCGGCTCCCTTAGCCACCTGGGCACACTGCTGACTTGACAGCCAATACCCCCAGGTCCTCTTCCGCTGGGCAGCTTTCCAGCCACTCTTCCCCAAGCCTGTAGAGTTGCATGGGGTTTTGTGACTCAAGCACAGGACCCAGCACTTAGCCTTCCTGTTCAAAATTGCTAAACAGTGCTCGTAAGTGATGATATAGTCCGAATTTTAATTCGGAAACGTGGCAATACACAAGATGCAGGGAAACTGAGACTTCCCCACCTTCATGGCTAGTAAAGACTCCTCCTCGAGTCTGTCCAGTATCTCAGTATCTCACCAGAGACAGGTTTTCTTCTTTTGAGGTGGGAAAATCTGTCAGAGGCTGACAAAGATGTGGTTATTGCCTCTATGACAGAGCAGAAAAAACAGCACTCACTCTCCCTGCTGATAATGAACCACATGATATATTCATACTTTAGCAAGATGCTATTTACCCCAGAAACATAGCATTTAGGGATATTAATCCTAATTTCTCCTGTAATTGCACAGACTTCCTCTGTTCTAGATTTCTGGCAGAGAGATTACATACCTTATTATAGTCAAAGCCATAATGAGACAGGAACTGAATGCTAGAGGCAGAGAGGGCAAATTCGACATCCGTAACCCCGAACGTTGAGGGAAAGACAAAAAAGTTGTATGAATGCACCACATACCTACGATGAAACAAAAAGTCTCTCTAGAAGATGATTACAAGAAGTAACTCCTCCCAAGAGAATTCTGCATACAATTTCAACCGCATTGTCTTCATTCAACAGAAAACTGCTTTTTTACTTACTGGTTTGAATTTTCATTTGAGAATATTGCCAGCCCTGCAAGAGAGAGAAACCTCCATTGAAACGGCAATGTTTAGCTGGATGTCTGCAGATACTGTGAAAATTAGGCAAGAGCTGTGGGCATCCGCTGATGGAGTTATGTGTTTTCCATTCACTAACGCCACAGTGCAAATCTTCACAGCAACTGCCAGGCCACTCCCCAGCTCTCTGGGCACTGAACAGGGACAAGCTTTTAGTACTAAGTGGGAAAAGAGTCAAGTCTGATTAAATAGCAAATAGACTGAGCAATGGGTGAGAAGAAGCGAGCTGATGATGCAAGTCTCCAGCTATGCATACACAGGTCTGCGGGTCCAACTACACTACAAAAGTATTTAGAAGAAGCTAGGCACCATAGAGGACTGAAATATGTTTTTTACTACTTCTACTTTTTTTACTACTTTACTACTATGGTTCTTTCCTATTAATTCCTAAAAAGTATGTTGAGATGTTACATAGCCTAAGACTTTGAACAATATTTTAAACATTTTTTGAGCTGATTTCTTGACTCTAACTGGTTCTTAACTGTCAATAGCACTCCACCACCATCACAGGCCCTTTCTTGCACTGATTGTTTTATTATTTTAGGAATATCAGAAATAGTAGCCTGTATTTTCATCTCTGATAGTTGCCTCACTCACACACTGTATCAAATTACACAGCCTTGAATGGGAACTGCTGTCACCTACTTCTTGCTCACATCCTCTATTTTAAAAGTCCTGCGTTTGTATCCGCAATCTTTAAATATGAACAACTTTAGATCAGTAAAAAACATACAGCCCACCTGAGTTTACGTTATTTAAAACATTAAAAAGTTGACAGCACTAAACTTCAGCTGGGGGGTGCGCAGGGGTGTGTCAAAATAAAACCTACCATGGCAAACAAATGGCTCTGTAACATGTGAATTAAGAGCAGAGCTACTTGCAGGGCTCACCAACTGGCAAGAGGCCAGTTACCACTGAGACCTCGGAAGATGATTTTCTGTGTCAGAACAGCACTTACCAAGCTGAGTAACAGTGAAGTGCTGAACACTCTGCCTGGCCTTCGAGTACCGCTCCTCGGGGGAATCAAACAGGCTGTGAACAAAACCAGAATTGGGAGGAATGGAAACAAGAAGGTTTGCAATGCACAGGTTGTTCTCGCAGTGCTAGAGAAGCAAGCCTCCCCCACCTCACAAGTCTAACAGCTTTACCTGGGCTCGTTAATTTGTGGGGAAGTTGAATATAAGCCAGTAAACTCCATATCAAAGGCTGGAGGTAGAAAGAACACAAAAAAATTCTGAAACATGAAGCATGCAACCCACCAGCATCAGGACAAGGATCTCTGAAACACGTCTCTTCACCGTGACCTCTGTGTCAAACCCACGAGTAGCAATCTCGGAGGAAAGGCTGCTGCAGCAGCGGAGTCTCCTGTTCCCGCATCCCTTCGGCAAGATGAGGAGAGGACTCCCCCCACCCCGGGACGGGCCCGCTTCACCCCTAGGAGTGTCCCCCGCTGGAACCAACATCCCGAGCCCCCCCACCCACCGACCGAGGCCAGCACCGCAGCGAGGGCTCTC